TGACATCTCCAGCACCAAGTCCCACCCTTAACACGCAATCGGCAACGCTTCCAACAGCCGATCCCACTGTTGAAACGCAACCAAGATACCCAGGGAACCCGGGGTGCCCTGGGTCTCTAGGGAATGTTGGTCTGCTCGGGAATGATGGGCTCATTGAAATGTTGGCCCACAATGTTGGTTTGACAATGGTTTTACCACACTAGTACTCATTTCCAGACAAAATTCTCATCCAAATACCTTACTGTTAGCACTATACAAAGTGATCATAATAAGTATACCAGTACTATGTATATCTGGGTTAACTCCCTAGGACCATTTTAAGTACGTCTAAGACGAACAAGTATATTTTGACGTACGTCTAAGTCGTACTTAAGTAAATATATATTGCGCTAAATATAGACAGAACAGAATCGCCCCTCCTCATGTCGCTCAATAAAATTTCATGATAATTTCTTCTCTTGATTTATGTAAACAGGTTTCAGACAAATTAGTCCATTCGTACGTCTTAGGTGTACGGTATGTCTAAGACGCATTTGAGGAGTTAACCGGATATTCTCCCGCCTTACTGTTAAACAACCTTGAAGAACGAGACGACTTACTTGTAGACGATGCCGGCAAACGGACTGTGATGGTCCATCACCAATTCCACTACAGCTCACACCACGCCACTATGACCAGAATTCCAGAGTAACGGCTCACTTTCTAGCATCGTGTGCAACTTGATCTCACAAGTTGCCCAAGATGCTAGACAGCGAGTCGTTGAGGGACCCGAGCCCCGCCCAATACGTGGGCAAGTGAGCGCTACAAAGCCTTAGATGTCGATCGCGTCATTTGTGGACAAATGGTGGAACCGCCAGGATAACACGAGATATGCAATGTTCATTATACTATACTTCAAAATGTAAGACATCATTTTTCTACTTGAGGGGGCACTTGCCCGTCTTGGGGTCCAGCACACCGTTGCCCCCTGCGATGCGGTAACACTTGGTCAACGGGAAGATGGACATGATGTTGCTGGTCACGGTGAACGACACGCAGGCGACAAACATGAACACGAGGATCACCCCGGCCACTTTACTCTTGCCACCGCGCGCCTTCAAAGCCTGGACTTCCGTCTTTTGGGGAGGCAGCAAAAACAGCCAAAACAACGACGCCACTTTACACCCGTACGAAATCAAAAACACGTACGTGACGTCCCACCGGACCTCGAGCGTGTCGGACTT